CTTAGATATATGAGTATTATACTAATGGAGCGAGACAAACCATAAAGGAGTAACTAGTAATGTGTCATAAAGGAGCTTAGAAGGCGTTTGTCAATTGACCAATAAAACTTACAATTGTGTGAGCTCCTTTAAAGTACAAAGCCATTTTGGAAGGACACCTAAAATATATCAGGCTGTACTATTAAAATACCAAATTCACAATATTGGTCAAATCACTACAGTGAAGGAAGACATGGTTAAATCAAGTAGCCGTCACCTAAATACGATAAAGACTCGAGGTAGAATATGAAGATTAGAATATTAAACATAACCAAAAGTCATGGAGTTATGTCTAAATTCAGAAGAACTGAACAGATATATATGATCAAATCAATCAATCCAACATTGGCAGTATCTATAACTGGGAAAAAAATCAAGAACTTTGAAGATATACTTTTCTATAGAAAAAGTAAATTTTGTTTTGAGTTCATCAAAGTGATAAAAAGTATAAGAGATGTTTCTTCTTGAGAATCTTCATAGATACCATAAAAGTTAATTGAAGTGACAACTCATCAAATTCAAATGAACCTCAGAAAGCATACCAATTAAATAAAAAATAAGACAAATCCAAACAAAGAAATCCAGGAGGAGGTTGACAAACTTCTAAAATCAAGATTTATCAGAGGCTAAGTACCCTTATCAAGTAAATGTGGTTATGGTGAAAACGACAAATAAAAAAAATTTGCATGTGCATGACTTTAAAAATTTGAACATCACCTCTGTAAGATTCTTATCAAATACCAAAAAAAAATTTATTAGCATGCATGCAATAGAATATCCCATTTTAAGCTTTATAGGTGTTTTCTCTAGATGGAATAATATCACAAATGTCGAATGATGACAATAACACGGCCATTGAGACTTAGTACAAAGTAATACCTTTTGACTTGAGGAATATTGGAGCAGCCTATCAATTGTTGATACACAATATATTCAAATATCAAAAGAGTAGATATAAAAAAATTAGATTGGAAGCTTAATTTTTAAGAACAAATTGAATTCAAAGCATTTGAAGCATCTACATTGAAGCCTTAATACACTTTAGAATTTTACTATGAGGCTCAACCTCGAGAAATAGGTATTTGATGCTAACTCAAGAAAGTTTCTCAATTTTTAGTTATCACAAAGCTGGATAAAGGTGAATCCTAGCAAAGTCAAGGTGCTTCTGGAGGTTGAGACGATATCAACCTTTCCGCAAAATAGGTGCAAAAATTTGATTGGGAGGTTGTGACAATCTTGAGTTGTTTCATTTCATGGTTTGGTGAGAAGTGTGTTCTATGAAAGCTCCACCAAATTTGCATCATTTCAAGAATATCATTGATTTAATAAAAAAGTTTGATAACATCATCTTTTGAGCAATCTTTTAGGAGAGCCACTATTGTTATATCCTGAAGTTGGAGACTTGGTGATTTGCTTCATATCGGTGATGGAAGGAAGTTCCAAGAAGTTATGACAGTAATAATATTAAAATTTTCAAAAAGTTCAAAAAGAAAAACACCTCCAATGTAAAATTTAGCTTTGGCAATGTTAAATCTTGAGAAGACCTCAACCTATATAAAGAGCTATTGATCAACTTCTAAAAGTAATTACCTTTCATGAAGGCTAGCCAAGTAAAATGCGCCTACTAAAAACTATAGCGAAAGCCATAGCTAGCACAAATTTTATGGTCAATTTACATATGCCTCAATGAAGAAGAATTGGAAAAAAAAACTTGGAAGATGCACACTAATAAAGAATTTAATGCCGCCTACTGTAGAACAATAGATATGCTTCAGAGCCCTGGCAATATCATCCTAAAGTGGAAGTTAGAAATAGCATGACTAAATATTGAAGCATTTTATGTATATGATGCAGGCATAAGTCTTAAGGCCATTTGAAGTATTAACCTCAATATTACACATAAAATAAACCAAAAAAAATGTGAAGAAGTACCATACGAATATCAAAAAAAGATAATTCAGAAAATCGTAACAACAAAGTAAGTTCAGTTAACCTCAATATTACACATAAAATAAACAAAAAAAAAAAAAAGTGAAGAAGTACCATACGAATATCAAAAAATGATAATTCAGAAAATCGTAACAACAAAGTAAGTTCATCATAATATATCTAGCTTCTTTCATCACGTTTCTATCAATAAGTCAATAACAATCATTAATCCTCTCGAAGCACTTATTATTAGATATGTTTAATTCGCAAACAATAATCATTATTATAAATGGTTCATCTATCTATTCAAAAAATTGATATTTCAAATTACCTCCTAATTCAACTTGAGAACACAAGCACAAATCAAATTTATAATGTTCTTGCTAAATATCATTTAAGATAAACACCTCATAGCTAACCGAATTGATGTCAATAAATGCATATTTTGAAGTCCTTAACCAATACCATCTCTGCTCCATTCCACTTTTTAACATCCTCGTCATTCAATGGCTTATACCCTTCTTAACATCCTTGATTTTTTTTCTCTGTTTCACTAGCTTCTTTCAAAAATTAATTTTTTTTTCCTAAATTAATCATACCCACAAACTATTTGTCATTCCCACTCAAAACCCCATAATTTCACATAAAAAACTTAATTTAATTTAGAACTAAGTAAAGCTAGCAACCATTCACCACAATCAGCCAACTTTGCTTACAATTGAGTTAGCTTATGGTACATCAGTAATGATATATGTCCTAGCATACTCATTTACTTCTCAATACATTTGGTTAGATTGTGTCATATTGTTTGTAACACACAATGTAGAATGCTTTGATCACAGAAGGTCATTCCAATTCTGAAATTCTACGAAACATTTTCTTGCTATCTTCCATGGCTATGCCATGGTTAGATCAAAAAAAAAAAAATTGGTGATTGCAATTAATAGAAAAGAAAATGATCAGATGACGACATGCATAATTTTCTTATTCAGTTTAAGTTCAAGTTTAGTCATGAATGCATTTGTAAGTACACTAACAGAAACAAGAAACATTACACCAATTTAAAACGAGCAAAAAAAATGCATATTAAAAATAAGGGAGATTTACATGCATAACACTCAATTTTTATGTATTTATCTATCTAACATCTAAACTTCAATTTCTACATATATGCCACGTTACCTATGCATGAAAAGGTGTATTTCACTTTTTTAATAGTGGTATTTTTTTATGTGATATTAAAGATTTCGATGGTAAAAATGTAAATTTTGAATTTTAGGCGTTAGATATGTAAATAAATAAGAATTAGGTGGTATGTATGTAAATCTTCCTACAAAATAAGATGGCTGCTAAATATAGTGCTTACTGTTTAACCCGCTTTGAATCGAATTCTGACTGTGAGTTCTTCATCTGATTTGCTTCCTTCTTTTCCAAAAGATTCATTGACCCTTTTGGACACTCTTCTTGCACCAGCTTCTCAATAGCACAAGACACCACCACCTCAGGCTCCTTCGATGTAGCACTAAATGATCCCGTATGCATATTTTTCTCCTTTGCTGCAGGAAGACACTTGGAATAATTCCTCACATTTAGCGCTGACTCCCAAACTCTATTCTGCTGTCCATTAAACAAATTTCTACTAAATAAATTCCCCTCCAAATGATGATGCTGGATATTTTTAAGTGGATCAAATTCAAGTGAGCTCCATGAAGGCATAGATGTTATAGTCCTCCCCTTGCATTCCCCTTGAAATAAATTGTCAGTATTTGAGTATGGGAAAGAGCCATCCATGTAGGCAAAGGAATCACTTGATGACCGGCGATGAGCACCTCTCCTCACGGGAGCTGGCGTCTCAGGCTCATTAAGCAAATCATCAAGCCAAGATGGCTGCTCCTCAATGAGAAAGCTCTCAGAAGAGGTGCGCTGATGAGACCTACTGCCCTCTCTAAGCTTAGGTGTTCGATGGGGTCCAGAAGAACCAAAGTCTGCATACCCAGGAGCAGCAATGCTAGGAAAAGGGGATTTTGGGGGTAGGAATGATTGTTTTCCAGTGTTCCGGGACGTAGAAGCCACTTTCATGCTCTCCATTTGTTCCAATTCCCCCCAAACCTGGCAAGATACAAGTTCCCAGATCACAACACCACAAAGCTAGGAATTTTTACTTATTTTTCTATAAAGCCAAACTGAAACTATAAATTTTGAAGAGATAATTCACCGCAGATCTGGATAAAAAAGAGAATGCAGGTAGAATTCAAAAAAGATCCACTTCAAACCTACCACAGTACAAGGAAAAAAACGTGCTGATGCAATTGTCGGTATCCAAACAGCATAGATCCAACAACAATCAGAACCCTTATAAAAATTGCAAAACCTAGCAGAAGGGCGGCAAAAAGCAGTAGATAACAGAATATGGAGTAACTCAGAAACGAAATGAGCGCACCGTATGTCCGTCGCCTTCTCTCCCGATGCCCGGAGATGAAACCCTAAAAAGGTTTCCCTAGCACTGGAGCGCGGATTCTCATAAAAGGGAGAGTCGCCTCCCACAGCTAACAAAACATAACATCACAGTTGGAGAAAGCTGTAAAGAATGATCCTCCAACATCTGATGATAATATCGCCACGCGCTTTGTCGCCTTGTTAAATAGGAGCTACCACCACACTTGATAATTACACTCCCGCTACTCTACCACAATTAAGCTATTGTTTGTAGCCGTTGATGCGTCGATACAGAAAATAACGAACGGTGAGTAGAAGAAGGTTGAGACTTCAGTGTGATTTAGAGGAAAAACGAAAAAAAATTTTACGCACAGAACCTCGAAGGAAATGAGCTGGGAGTGGATACAGCAGCTTATTGTGATTTGAGCTCTGGAGTCCAATTGGCAGCATTGGATTAAATTCTTGTGAAATGCCGCCCAGATTTCCATTTGATTTGCAAAAAATCCAAAAGTAATGTATTGTCCCTTTCGATTCCGTTCTAAGATTTTGGACTCAATTCATTTGTTAGGGTCATGAGAGTCGAACCAATACATTAGTGTTGCATGTCTTAGAAAAGTTAAACCGGGTATAGTCAGCTCAATAAAATTGAGATTCAAAACAGAAGTGATACAAAATAAACGAAGGCCTCGGTAGGAGAAGCGGAAAAGTAGCCCAGGAAGCGAAGCAGTTGCTGTAGAAAATTCACAAAGATGGTAGGATCTGCAATTCTCGAAGCCCATAGCCGAGAACAAAATTGGGGATAGGGAACGCAGGATTGAGAATGTTGGAGAATATAAATAATCTCAGAACCCATAAAACAACAAAATAATCTAGAACCAGTACACACTTAAGATCAAAATCCCATAAAGTATATAGTTGGATTATTATTGAATTTCTAATGAGTTTATTGTCATCTTTCACTTTCTTTCGTAAGCGTCTCTCCAATAGGTTCAGGTTTGTTCCTCTTATTTGGTTTATCTTGATCAATATTTTTCCTTTTCTTTTGTTTTTTTTCACTTGGTCGGTGCTTTGTCTTAGGTTTGTAGTTTTCAGCTTTCGTTTGCTCTTCCCGACTTCACTATTTTACAGTTTTTGAGGTTTTCACTCTTGCAATTTTGGCTGATTGGTTTGTCTCCTTCGAGGTTTCTTTTTTTGGAGTTTCGTTTGCATGTGTTGTACTCCTAGAGGAAGGACCTCTAGGTTTTCTTTTGAGTGGGTTGTATTTTGTGTTTAGTGGAGATCCTCCTACCGTCCTATGTATTCTTTGTTTTGGATAAAAATTCTCTCCGGGTGTCCAAAAAAAATCATTCAGATAGTCATGGTAGTTATTCTTTCTTTATATGTATTTGTATTCTGAGACCTCTATAAATAAGATGTCATGACATCACTAAAAGGAGCCTTCGAACCCTCACACTTGGAATTCTCTTGCATTCTTTCTTTTTCACTTTTTTCAGCTCTAACTCGTGGTATGTTTTCCAAGAAAAAAATTCATAATTCAACAGATAGATAATTACAAATCTAGAACTAGGACTATCAATTTTTTTTTCTTTTTTTTTGCGAACAACTCATATTCAGCTCATTAAGTAGCTCGTCTTAGATTCATTCACAAAACAAACAAGTATAGCACATAATTTGTTTGCGCTCGATATTAAAACAGAACAAACAAAAACAAAGATTTTTATACGTGTTCTGCTCACTTTGGCAATATATATATACCTATACATATATCTATATATATTTGTATGTATACGAACATATATATGTATATCTATATATATACATATACATGTATGTGTATACACATACATGTATGTGCACATACATGTATGTGT